TTATTGGTATTTCAGTGTTATTTTAATATATTAATGTTAAAAATAATTTTTAAAAAATAAAAAATCATTTCAATATATAAAGCAACTACTAGTACTGTACTCTCAAAAACTCCCAATTAATTCTCCTTACTTGTTAGGTGGAATTTGGGACGTCTTAACTCTTCGTTACAAGATGTTGGCTACAAATATAAGTAGCAGACCTCCAATTTCTTGCTCTTATCTTAAAATGGAAGGGACTCGCTCTCCTCTCCTTCTATAAATTAGCAGGCAAATAGCATTGATGGCAGCCCATCATCTTGATTTCAATGCACAGCAATGCGTTAGACGTTATGTTAATTAAACCCAAGCACAACCCCGAATTGAAAGGCCACAGATAGTGAATGTTTTAGAGCACAAATACTCTTTCATTTTAGAAATAAAATCATGGATATATGTGATTGCAAAGCAAGGGGAATAGGAATAATCTGATACTGATTTTTAATCCTGAACCAGAGGTGATGATATCAAATATTTATCTAGATTAACATTAATTAATAGAGAGATTCGCGCCCTGATCGATCAAGGGCAATAATATGAAAGAATTGTTAACAATAATAAAGTCAACTAAACGTACATGCCACCCCAGCACACAGCCTCTGGAGGTCACGACCAGCAGATGGTTTCAGAGAGAGTTAAGAAGGGAAATAATAGATATTCAGTGAATGATTAGAAAGAGAGTGAAGGATGATCATTTTGTTTGTTAATACTAAAACTCAATCAGGCTCTTACACTTCCAGCTCAGCAACTGCTTTGCAAACATGTGGCGACTCGACAATGGCCGCATCATCCACTGCTGGGATATTGAGTGGGGGTCAGCTTGTTCTTGTCATTCTCCTATCCAGTTGAGACAAACCCTAATTAAGCAGATGAAACGGTGATTAGTTTAGGAGTTTGGGCACCCTTAATTTAGGACGCTAATTAAGCTGACTTTCCAGCTCGTGTGCACGACTCCTTTGCCGGAACTTAAATTTGAATTCTTTTTCATTCATTATTAGGGCCGTTAACACGTGCATGCAATTCTCAAATCAGAGAAGATCATATATATCTGTGTGTGTGTGTGTGTGAGTGTGTTAACTTGATTAATCAACTACTCCAAATACAATGATTCTAGACATTAAAACACAGGGGTCACAGTGCCTGGTGAAAATACAACTAAGCTTCATTTGCCTTTTCTCTTTCCTTTCTCTTTTCTTTTTCTTTTTCTTTTTCTTTTTCTTTTTCTTTTTCTTTTTCTTTTTCTTTTTCTTTTTCTTTTTCTTTTTCTTTTTCTTTTTCTTTTTCTTTTTCTTTTTCTTTTTCTTTTTCTTTTTCTTTTTCTTTTTCTTTTTCTTTTTTTGCAGGGAAGGGAAAACACCACAATAAATATTTGCAGTT